GGTTAGGTTAGGTTAGGTTAGGTTAGGCTAGGCTAGGTCAGGTCCTTCGCTCTCCTCATGACACTGTTCGGGAAGAAAGACTATCTGATAAAGGTAATGATGTTGACCTTAGATAATAAATGAATCAACTTCTCCTTTTCTCACTGTCTTTGTGTTTTGTAGGAACATTTGGGAGGGAGAAGGATCTCCCTCCCCAACTTTACCACGAAGAGGACGAAGTGGCCATTTATCGTACAAGTGAATGTTTTCCGAAATCTCCGATGGTAAGAACTCTTTCGTTTCGTTTTTTAACACATCTTATTCTAGTATCGTAATTTACTGTTTTTCTGTTTTTAGACATGCCGAAGATATTCTTGGATCGCACGCACACACACACAAGCACGGATATAACATCACTGTACACGAAGATATACACCGTTTAACCTTTACTCGAATTCTCGCACTCACGCACTTACATGTCAAGCGCCACGTTCTGTGTAATTCCACACAATGAAACAACCCGAACACACGCTTCCCACAAATCCAACCCCTGGGTCCTCGTCCCGGGAAGTGGAAACGCCAATTTTAAAGATTAAAACACTTTAAATTGGCGGCCGAAGGGGCTCTGGTAATCACACATCTTGCATGGATTAAATAGAATTTCAGACATTAGCATCAATAATCATTTTGTGATGAATTTTTCTGTTAAATTTAATGCAGTAAGAAATTATCTGCGCAAAAATCTCGCTTGTAGCATTGCTAACTCTTACTTAAGATCATTAAATACCTTAATCTTTATACCCATTTTTGGTTTCTCAAGATCCATGATATGGGCTGCAGGACTGTATGACACAGGACTTGACAGACCGCCCTGGGTTCTTCAACAGCACGAATCGATGTCAGAGCGGTAGACCGAAGTCTTAACTGCTCAAACATCCAGCCGTCACCTCGTTATACTAGGTCTTGAAAGTATAACAAGTAGCGACACTTGCATATAGACAGTTTCTTATTGTACACTAGACACTTGCACATAAATTGTTTTTAGTTGGTCTGCAATGTACCATATCTCTTAAACANCGGCCGAAGGGGCTCTGGTAATCACACATCTTGCATGGATTAAATAGAATTTCAGACATTAGCATCAATAATCATTTTGTGATGAATTTTTCTGTTAAATTTAATGCAGTAAGAAATTATCTGCGCAAAAATCTCGCTTGTAGCATTGCTAACTCTTACTTAAGATCATTAAATACCTTAATCTTTATACCCATTTTTGGTTTCTCAAGATCCATGATATGGGCTGCAGGACTGTATGACACAGGACTTGACAGACCGCCCTGGGTTCTTCAACAGCACGAATCGATGTCAGAGCGGTAGACCGAAGTCTTAACCGCTCAAACATCCAGCCGTCACCTCGTTATACTAGGTGTTGAAAGTATAACAAGTAGCGACACTTGCATATAGACAGTTTCTTATTGTACACTAGACACTTGCACATAAATTATTTTTAGTTGGTCTACAATGTACCATATCTCTTACATAATATATTATTTCAATGAGAAATTGACATTCGATGTATACCATTTTGTTCACGACGTGTTTTCAGATTTATTGCCAATTATTTGTAACACGACTGGCAGGCTGCCTGATTTCAACGAACTTGGGTAAAGGTTATACATGTAACACGTGGGAAAGATGGATGGGAGGACGACGATGTCTCGCTTGGAACGAGTTGGTGCCGGTTCCTATAGGTATGCAGTGCGTGCATGCAAGTTTTAGAATACATTTGACAGTCAAACTAAGAGAATGCCAAAGGAAATGTTTGCAAACTTTCGATCTAAAATTCATCTTCAACATTTTATAAATTTGTCTCTGAATCTGTTTGCTACTCATGCTTGAATAAATAAATTTTTTCTGAAGTATGTTTTTGTGAATTTTATTTATTTACAAATCTATAGAAGTGTATTTTCAAATCAGTTATCTATGTCTGCTTCAACAAACAATAATCCTTAAGTTACAATTGAAGGAATAATCATTTTAACACTAGAAAGAATTGATTTACAACTGTTTGAGAGATATTACAATCAGAACTATTATTTCTATAACACTAATCTATTTATTGATAAAGTATAAAGAATAAAAACTTGTATTATTAATACTTTTATATTTTCTTGGTTGTACTACTTTAAAATGTTTATTATAAATTTCATATTGCATGTAATGAAATTTAACTCTGTTCATTCAAATATCACACGAAGAAAAGAAAAATTTTAATTTCTATTATTTCAAATTGTATAAAAATTTTTCTTAATTTTGTGATATCTTTAAAATAATTAGTACTTTTATATTTTCTTGGTTGTACTACTTTAAAATGTTTATTATAAATTTAATATTGCATGTAATGAAATTTAACTCTGTTCATTCAAATATCACATAAACAAAAGAAACATTTTAATTTCTTGTTTCTTCTAATTCTATGTATTAAATAATGTATAAAGAATAACAACTTGTATTATTAATACAATACTTTTATATTTTCTTGGTTGTACTTCTTTAAAATGTTTTTTATAAATTTAATATTGCATGTAATGAAATTTAACTCTGTTCATTCAAATATCACATAAACAAAAGAAACATTTTAATTTCTTGTTTCTTCTAATTCTATGTCACGACTAGGTGCATTTATCGACACTTGGCAAATAATTCCATCATCTACTTTTAATTCAAAATTTTAATTTCTATTATTTCAAATTGTATAAAGATTTTTCTTAATTTTGTGATATTTTCAAAATAATTAGTGTATTGCTAACTTCAAATTCCATCTTTGAAGAGTTAATTTAATTCATTCTCTTCAATTTTACCATTAAATACATGCTATGGCATTTTATCTAGTAAACTAGATTTGATTTGAAGAGTAATAAATTTGCAAATTAATTGTACTGATTTTTGTGATATATTTACAATTGAAATTGAATAACTTCTTTTTTCAATTCTAAGATGCCAACTGAACTGATTCTGAAATCAATCAAATTTTTAAGTAACAAAGAAAATACAAATACCATGAAATATTACCTAAATTAGTAACAGATAGTTAAATATGATCAATGTTGTGTTATGTAGAAGCTTTAGAGTTAAACATGCTTATTTTGACAGGCACATCTATAAAAGTTTTCCAACTTTGATTTTGGTAAGGATGGGATACAAACATGTAATCCCAAGCTATAACAAAATATCATTCCATTTCCATCAAATAATAATTTAAAAGCAAGAGGTCCTTATTTAGCTATGTATAAATCTAATCTGATTTAAGACCACAAACAATGACACTGTTCTATCGACTCATACAAGAAAATAATGTACACCTAATTCTGTTTTTATACGAACGATTTTAAACATAATTTGTCAAGTATGATCCCAATGAAAAATGAGCTTTAAAGTTACACTGTGACATGAAATCATTACTGTCATCTTATAGAGAATTATATTTCACTGCTTAGAAATGAAAAATAGTGCCTCGGCCGAAACAACTTGAAAGGTTAGAAATGTACAAAGCCTTCGGGAGAAGGACTGTAGTTCACTTGGCGGAGTCAGGCTAGGGAGAATATAAAAAGTTATAAGCGAGACTAGCGATATCTATCACTTTTTTCTTAATTATGCATAATTAAGAGAGATCAAGATTAAAACAGTTCTCTTTATTTCGCCTATTTAACAATGCATTTAGGACTGATAATTTTCCAATCCCTAGCTGGGCTGACGGCTTCAGATCTAAACTTGTTGTCTATAACATAAAGAACAAAAGGCTAGTTCATCTTAATATACTTGTGTTATTCACAATCATGGATATAGTGCACAGTTCGTGCACATCCTAATGGTGTATCAGTCTCTTGCACTTACTGGCATGTTTTCTTTGTCTATTTTTCATGGGCAAATGCAACGGTTCTTCCATTTCGCACAATTATTAACTCCTTATTAGCTCTTAGAAGGATTTTAACTTCAATATGGTGGTTGGTAATGTGACAAAGGTCAAATTGTGGTTTTTCATTGCAAATATTTTCACAAACAAACTATAACTACGAGCAATTATTTATAGTGATATGGTCACAATGCCGGGCTGCAATTTGTAATTGTATTTTTAAATAATTTAATTTAAAATATACGTTCTCTACTTCAAATTAGTAGTGTCTTGCCCCTGTACATTATACTTTTCCATTAGCATTTATTAACTGCTTTTGAGCAGGAAGGTTTTGAATTGAAATAACTTGACTTTGCATCGAAAGTTCATATATAGTTAATTGGGGCCTCCGCTCCCTAAAGTTTTCATATCTGGTCTTGAATTTCATCTAACTCTGTTCTTGAGATTAAGACAGTGCGAATTAATAGGTCTAAAATTTTTTCAAATTGTCACAGATTCAGGAAAGTTCAGAATGTTAATCGGAAAAATCCAGCTCTGACTCTGACATGAGAAAATTTGGAAATAAATGTAGCATTCTTTCAAAAGCAAAATTTTTGCTTTGTAAGTAATGAAGACATAAAGAAAAATTCTTAGCCGTTAGAAAAGAAAATATCATGGCATGAGATATGAGCGAAAGTTTCAAAGTTGGACCAAGTCAAACGGAAGTGTCAAATTGATTAACCCATCAAATTAAGAATTTAGGGGAGAGATCCTTTAAAAAGTCAGAAATCCAAGGAGAAACAACGGTGACTTCTTCCTGGCTCTGTGTTGTCTGGGACTTGGTTTTCCTTCTGCCCTATTATAAAGGTTTTTTGGTGTTTTTAATAAAAAAAAAGAATACACAGAACGTCGGTAAAATTTTATTTTCTTTTTTTATTATAAATGATTCTTCCATCAATATCATGACAGTATTGAATATACTGTTACAACAAATAACAATGGTCATGGAAAATGTTTTGAAGACATATTATGAATAGTACAAATATGCATATGATAAAAAAAAATTAAGATGCATACTACATACAGCCAATATATAATGCAGCAATTAAACTTTATGATCACATTTTTTCTACAGTTATACATTAATGAGGAAGATAAAACAACTAGGCACCTTCTGACTCTTATTGGCTTGATGCCGACTGTTGCAGCATCTGTTCATTTTCAGCATTACTTAGATCGCTACCTTCTCCTCCTAGATAAGTTGATAAGTTTAATTTTTATTATATTTAAATTTATTAAATTTATAAGTGTGAATATGATTAATTAATTAAATAAATAGATATATTTAATAATTTAATATAATATGATCTTTTCTAATGTAATGCAAATTGATAATAAAATGTTTAAAACATACAAAAAAAAATAACATTAGCTAACTATAATTTAGATTATATTTACAATTTATTGTTTTAAAAATTCAAAAGTTATAATATAAATTATATTATGTGCAAGTTTGCTTAACTTTTAGTTGTTTAATTATAACTATAATATAACATTCATAAAAATTTCAATGAAATACTCCTGTTTGTATTTCACACTACCACAATTTTTGATATAAAACAATTAAGGACAGCTTTTTTTTGTCAGTGACAAATTATTGAAAAAATTTTCATGCTTATTTCAATGTATGACTACTGACTGTCAGTTATCATCATCAGATATTGTTCAAATGTTGATCACAGTTCAGTTGAATTGTTAAGCAAGTAGTCAATGAGAGTAAAGAATCATAAATCCCAAGATTCTTTGCACAAAATGGAGGAAAAATTATTGTATTCATAGAAGAATGGCTCCGGCTGTATGATTTAATTGAAAAAGACTACTGAGAAGTTTATTAATTCATAGTTTTGATTATTTTAACGAACTTTTAAGTCTAAGTGAAGATGGTTTGAAAATTTTCATGTTATAATCTAATTTTTGTTTTTGCTTCTTTCTCTTCTTTTATAAATCCCCAACATAATTTTTCAACACTGAAATCAACACACATTTCCTTACAGCAACTGTCTCAAAAAATATGGAACCATTAATCAATCATACAGTGAAATATTTAGTAATTGAACATTTTTGGTCCTTTTCACTGACCTTCGTCAGGAAATATATACATTATATAATTTAATAAGAAAGAACAAAGCCATCTGTATTCTAAAAATGGTTTTTACAACATTCCATCTTCGGAATAATATAAATTTTTTAAAAATGCATGTCAGGTTTTTACGTATTCCATCTAATACTATATGTGACAAAAATGAAAATATATAAAATGTATTTTACACATAATGAAATAATCCATAAATACAAACACACTAAATTATACTTTTCATATTTGTACAAATTAAAGCCGAAGTCACTCTAAAAATTATTTCAGACGATCACCATTTTTATTTAGTGTTCTAGAACAAATCATAGACAGCTGGACCTTCTCTTTTAGGCTACACAACTGCCTACATTTAAAAAGGTTCCTTAAAAACACAAAAATACCAATAAAGATTAAAAGAATTCTTCTTTAAAATAGGAATGGTAGATCTTACGACATCTTGTTAGTTCATCCTTGTCCATTCGGGTTTCTGGCTCCTTTTATCTACTGAGAATTAGCGCTGACAAATGTAGATTATGCCAACGTATCCCTCTGGTGATGAATTTAAACGATATATTTGAATTTCTGTTGGATGAATAATTATTTTTGTACAAATTAAAGATTCGTCTTTAATTTGTACAAAAATAATTATTCATCCGACGGAATAAATAAGGGAAGGTCCAGCTGTCTATGATTTGTTCTAGAACACTAAATAAAAATAGTGATCGTCTGAAATAATTTTTAGAGCAACTTTGTCTTTAATTTGTACAAAAATAATTATTCATCCGACAGAAATTCAAATATACTTTTCATATTTTTACTCTTGCACCTGCTGAATTAATCAATGTCTGCAACTGTCTCAATTTTTTTTTGTACATAAATACTGTAGTACAAGATTGCTTTACTCCAATGATATTACTACAATGTGTAAATATTAATGTATCTTTGACAATTTAATCAAAGATACAGTGTATGACTATACAATCCAGTTCAATGAATGATTAGCTGTTGTAATTGATATCAATTACCATTGGTGGAAGTGTGAAAATAGCATTAACAGAAAATTCATTAAAATATTGTCTCTTCCATAAGCTCAATGGAAACTGATAATTTTTCAAAATTATGGTTTGAAAATTTATTATATATTGTACAATATTATAATTTGTATAATTGACATTATATAAGCATTAATTATATAGTACAGTGTAGGGCCATTAAGCCGCGGGCCAGTAATTCATGAATTCGCTTAAGCCACACAAAAAGCTTGGATCCCAATTTTTTTACACTATGGATCATACGGACCTGGACATGGCCTCTCAAACACTCGAGACAGGTGATGATAACTGTCATTTTGGCATTTGAATGTCCATGATTGACATGCTATGCACTATCGCAGATTAAAAATTTAAATGCTGGTTTATAACTTCAAAGAGGTATTTATAGAAGATTAGTCTTTTATTTATCAATAAACAATAAAATAACTTACAATGAAATTCAAATACAATATTAATCTGTTTTATTCATGCTGAGTGTCAATGTTATGGAGGCCGCCATTGTAACAGATTCACACCTTATTATGCTACAAAGTTAATCTGCGGACCACCTAAGCCACAGTTAAGCAGTTTGGACTCCAATCACTGCAGTTTAATGGCCCTACACTGTACAAATTTTTCAAATTAATCTTAAATATATAACAAAAGTAACCTGTTTAAATTTTCTCTATGAAAATATTGAATCTTGTGTAAAATAGCATAAAAATTTGTATAATAAAGCTTTTATTTGTGTATGAAGAACTGATAAAAGCACTCTCAAAGACAATTTTTGGCAGCAATTTTGTTAATTCTTTATAGGGAAGTTTGATTGCAATTACATATATATAACTGCCATTTATCATTATTCTAAAAGTTAACAGGTATTAAAATTTAATAATTATTTATACCCAAAGAAAAAACTGTTTAAAAGCTTTTGCAATTATGAATTTACTTCAAATGAAATCATTCTTGAAGTTATGAGTTCCATTTAAACGCTAATAATTATTGCTTTATTTTAAAAAACACCTATGAAAATTACTGATGTATAATAATAAAGTACTTTTTTAACTTTATAACGTTGAATTCTATGCTACTTCAGTATTTATTTCCTATTTTCATTTTAAAAAAAAATGTATTGATCTTTATATATTTGTTTTAAAGACTAAAAGTGATTTAAAATTTTTAAATATTTACCCGGTGTTTGAGATGGTGGACCACAAGGACTTGTAAGGGAGGGTGTGTCACTTCCACTTGATTGATTTGGAACAGATTGGACTGCAGTCATTGGCTGTACAGCTAAATAATAAGATAGTAATATTCAATAAACATATTTCTTTTGAAGACAGTATATAAATTAAATTTATAGCTTCATTTATTCTTTATAATATGATCATTAAAATATAATAAAGACAAATGAAAAATATTTGAATATTGATTTTATTTCAATAAATTGTATTAACTGAAGAAAGTCACACAAACACAACATTCACACAAGAATGATCTAATTTTCTATATAAAATTCTTATTTTTGTAGCAAGTCAAGCCTGCAGATGAAGGCTGGAGGATAGTTCCATTTTCTAACCAGGAATCAAGACTGTGGTGCAAGGGAAAAAAAGGGTAGAAAGGTTAGTATAGGTTGAGATAAAAGATAAAAGATTTAATAATGGGAATATAAGAAAATATGTCAGAAGATAATAATAATCATATATAGATAAAGAATTGAACGATATCAAATATTAATAAATGTAAATTTAAAATTATATGCAAAAATTTGCATGTTAAATTAGAACAGTTTTTTTGAACAGAAAAAATGATTATATTAAATTTAAAATTTTAGAATATAAGTGAAGAAAATACTTCCTATATTCTGTACTATGAAAATAATGACAGAAGATATTTTATCCTGAGCTCAATAATTATATTAAATATATATTTTTAATATTACTTCTTTTAAAAAACAAGATCTGTTTGATTAAAAAATATATATAAAATATAAAAAGAAGTTATATTTTACAATTTAAATTTTCTTGAAATAAATTTAAATAAAAATTCACATTAAATTTACTACGTTAAAAAATTTTTAATTTTAAAACACTTAAAACATTCAGGTTCTTTTTACATCCATAATCAATAAAATTAGAAAACTTTATTTTCAGAATTTTTTTTAACAATATGAACTGCTTTAATACTTTAGAATAAAATTTAAATCAAAAAACTTAGAAATATATTCTCTACTGTGGAAAAAAATAAAAATATCTTCATACACAATAGAAAATTTGACCAAATCATTTTAATCTCCTTGTACGTATTTGAAGCATTTTATTTTTACAACTGAAATAATTTATAAAAGAAGTTAATTTTTTAACAATGTGATGTTTCAAGAAAAATTAAATACTTTCATATAAAGAAACAAACTGGGGAAATGTTATAGATACTTTAGGAACAGGAAAAAGAAATACAGAATTAAATTAAATTAAAAAAGTAAACAAAATGATAAATATTATAAATATAATTTTTGCTGTGTAACTGTGACATTTCTTCAGCTATTTATTAAATTAAAATAATATTCATTTTAAATACTTGATAAAAAAATTTTTAAATTATTAAAATTTTAAGTAATAACATAAGAATATCGGAAGTATTATCTCCACTTATAACATTTTCATTATTTTGAAATAATATTAAATTGGCATTAATAATATATTCAAATTATTTTCATTTCCTATTTAGATTAAATTGTTCTAATTTATAAATTTTTTTAGATCTATTGGGACATCCAAGGATAAAATATTGCCATCATAAGAAATTATAATTTTGAAAAAATTACTTTATAAAAATTATTAATTTCCATATCATAAATTTCTTTTATTTTATAATTAAAATTTCTACTTGCATCAACTTTTTGCAGATACTAACTAAAAACTAATTAATCTCAAGTGTTTTCAAAATATTTTAATTTTATTAATTTATGGTCTTTACAGATTTGCTACAAAACTATGATAACAGATGTTTTTTTGCATTGGAATTAATAAATTCTAAACATGTTTTTAGTTGGTATCTATAAATAAAGTCAGTTACAAGTAACATTTTAACTATAAATTATTAAAAATCTTAAAAAATTGAATAATAAAAACAATTATATTTTAAAAATAAATAAATACTTATATATATTAAATTAATAACATTGTAGTATTATATTGTAATATAATAATCAGTTTTAATTCAATAAGATATTTAAGATATAAATTTATGTAAGAGAGGATTACAAATTTTTTAAATCAACAATTAGAGTTTATTTTTAGTTTTAATTATCAAGATACTGGAATGAATTATTGGAATATTTTACTAAATTTAAAAATAAACAAATTAATCTATCATGAAGAAATGTCTTATCAAATAATTAATGCTTTAATTTCAACTCATACCACAACTGATATGTAAATATCAGTTGTGGTATGATTTGAAATTACCACAACTGACATGTAAATATCAGACATTGTTTATATCTCAATTTTTGTGTAACTACAGTCGACCCCCCTATAAGATCGTTGATTTTTCCGTTTTATCTGAATTACATGTTGTACGAGTCACTTAGATTTTACAAATATGTGAGCCGTTCACAGCCCGGCACACGTATTTGTAAAATCTAAGTGACTCGTACAACATGTAATTCAGATAAAACGGAAAAATCAATGATCTTATAGGGGGGTCGACTGTAAA